GCAGAAAAAGGAAAACAAAAAAAACGTTGAAGGGTTATACAAGGGTGCTGCTGCTTGATCAGTAAATTATTTGGCTTTGTGTTGCTAGAGTACTGTTCAAAGACAGTCAAAAGATGTGTGTGTCCTAAACTACTTTAGGACACACACAAACACCACTTTTTCTTTACCATTGTCCCACTGCTCAGTGTGAAGGCCAGATAGACTTCTCAACAAGATTCGTGTTGCATACATTACACAAAGATAATCAAGATAAAGGGGATGTTTAAAGCAGGAAACCAAATCAAAAGTGAATCAAGCAGGCTTATTGGCAAGAACAAAATATATCCCAGCCTTGCAGAAAGAGTCAGGTTCTGACCTCCTGCAGGTGCATGTCTTCCTTGGTGAAATTCTGAAGTCTGAGTGAAATCAAGACCAGAGAAAGGCCTCATGTTTGCAAAGAGCTTCCACCTGTTTTGTTCCTCTGCTGCACGAGACCAACCTAAATGGCTTTCACCAAACTGGAACACAGAGTGGCAGTGTGTTTGGCTGGGTGTATGAGGAGTGTGAGTAGGTGCAGGAGTGCACATGACAAAACATTTCAACTGGTACGAGGATGGCTAAGGTGAGGTACTGCACATGGGATCTTATACTTGTGAATGGGGATAAAAGGGAGTGCCCTTTATTTACACTGGAAAATTGGATGCACAAGTTATACCATACCTCATGGATGATGTATGTTGCCATTTCTTTTGGATTACTACAGCTGCTGAGGACTTTGCCATGCTTAGAATATAAAGGAGTATATTAAGCACAAAATTTCAATGTTGTGTCTGTGTAGCTGCTACTTCCACAGTATGTTTGGTGTTTGGTAGTGTCCATGTCACAGATGCAAAGAGAAAATTGTTACTTTGCCATGTTTTTCAGGGCTTGCATGTTCTAGTAGAATAAATACAGGTAAAAATATAAGAAGGGCCTTTTCAGATAATACGTAAAGGTTTGGATTCCATTCCATATTCCCTGGGCCAAAAGACAGTTGGTGTAATCCTGACAGCATCAGTACAGGTCCGCTGCATAAACAGCTGGCTGTCTAGACTTTTCCATAACTTCTGTGTATTGTCTTAAGAGGATGTGTTCATTCCTGTTGCCATTTCCCAACATCTCACTGCCACTAAGCCACAAGCCAGGGCATTAGCTTTTAAGAACACGAGTGTTCTGTAGTTCTTTTCACGTTACATCTGTATCAGTATTTACAAAGCAATGCCTAAGTCATGGGGATAGCTGAAAAAATATTCCAGTGATTTAACCCTGTGGTCCTTGGGCTTCTCCTCTGTCTGGGAGGAGCTCAGCCAGCAGCTGCAGATCCAAGTAATCTTGTGAATCACATAATAAGGGAGACTTGAGGAAGGTACCTGTGTCCAAAATAGGGATGGTCTTACATGCAGCAGGCTGGAAAAAACCTCAAAGATAGCATGAACTGAGGCATTAGTGTCTTATTTTCTTAATTTCAAGCAGGCAACTGAGTGTAAATTAAGTCATTTATGAATATGCAATTTTAATTAAGTTTGTTAAATGTCAAATGTATTTTTAAGTCTAGTAAATTACGGAACCCTTGCATATGTTTACCACTGTGCCCTGCTGGATCAGGCTGGTTCCCACTAGAGAATTAGTAGCTGCAGGTTTTTGACCATCAGATACTGAATGATCTAACTTCTGTTAGATGAGCCACTTCCTACCTACAAACTAAATACTATTGCCTACTGCCCAGAAGGTGATGTATTAAAAAAAAGGCACTTATTTTAGTTCTAAGTTCTGCTTTTCAGAATAGAGGCACGCACCAAATGCGAAGTTCCCACAGTTTGACCATTAAATTTCAGGGAGAAGTGACAACTGCCCTGCTGTGTAAAAGTGCCTGGGGAAGAGCTATTCTGAGAATGGACCAGAAAAGCAGATAAAATACATATTTTGCTGTAAGTACAGCAAGCTGTCCTACAGATTCATTAATATAAACATAGCACATGCTTGCATGCCTTTCTGAATGGAAACCTCAATGACTTCCCTTTCTGGAGCTGGCATGATTGGCTTTCACAGTACTTAAAAAAGGAAAAGTGACAGAATGTGTTCCTTGGGTCTGCCCTTGTCATTACCCTCCTCTGCCCAGATTTCCTGTCTCAAAACTGTTTGAGTCCCAGCAGCAAGGAGGGAACACTACGGCAAAGACCACCAGACATGACACAGGAATTCCTGCAGCAGGGAGAGTCCCTCTGAGCACAGCTGGCTGTGAAGGGTCAGCCTTCAGTCCACATCCAGCTGAGATCTTTGCATGGAACTTTCTCATTTCTGATTACCTGTGTGGTAACTCATAAAACATTGTATCAGCAATATTTCATTCAGATTTTGGGGTAAACACATAAAGGTTCAGAAAAGTGTCATTTTCTTCAGCATACAAAAAGTTTCATAAAGCCAGAGCAGAAGAATCAATTCCAATCTTAAGTTTTGTTACTGGTATCCATTCAAGTCATTACCTTGCAAATTATTTATTACTTTGTGGCTCCAAAAATAACAAACTCTCCCAAGAATCCAAAACAAGAAAGTAGAAACTTCTACACTCGTGGCTAGTGTCATTACCAGGCTTATGCACATGACAACTTTGTTTCATATAAATGGTATGTATAATTTTATTAGAAAGAAATATTATTTTGATGTTAAGACATCAAATTATAAGCAGAAGGAAAATAAAAAATTGTTATTTTATTAATATTAGAAATATATTTAATGGGAACATTTGCAAGAGTGTGTAGTGATAAGAAAATTCTGATTGTTAATGGGTTTAACAAAATCATGACTCTTAAAAAATATTTTCTTTCCAATACTGTGCCAAGTACATAAAGGTTTAGTCTTTCTTGCAAAGCTGTAGTTCTGACACACAAGAATTACTATATCGTCAGGCCAAATAAGAAAAGGAGAGGAATATTGATTGTAAATGGAATTAGGATGGTGTCTGGAGTTGCTCTTAGCATCACAGCTTGCATAGCCTTCTGCCTAGAAGTATTTCAGAGTTAATGTACCAAGTCCCAGAGCAGCAACAACAGGTGGGGGTGGGGTCCAACTCTCTGTTAATTTCACACTTTAAAAAATCTGTATGTTTGTTCCTTTTACACATTCCAATAACTATACTGTTCACTTTATTTATATATGAAATACTAAAGTGTGTATAAGATGACTGTGATTTTATGATGTATTCATAATAACAAAGATATTTTTTCTTACACTGTTGGTAGCTGCTTTTTATTACACGTTGCCCTTTCTCTGAAACACACTGATGCTGGCTGGAAGAAACAGATGGCAGGAAATCTCCTTACGCTGCCTTCTAGTATTTTTCTTTACTGTTCGTAGTTCTTTGACTCTGGGACATGAGCTCTTGCAAGCTGGGGTGGGTTTCAGCCTTTGTAGGAATAAAGCACACAGCCACCTCTGCTCTATGGATGGATGGTGGCTCCTGTGCCACAGCAGGATCCAGCACCCCACGCCACGCTGCGGGTGTGCGCAGCTTCTGCACAGCCCGGGGATGCGCTGCGGGGCTCCGGAGCTCTCTGGCGTCCCGCCGGAGAAGGGAAAAAGGGGGAACAACACATGGGCTCCATCAGGCCTTGCCTGCCCCTCGCACGCATCCAGCCGAGCCCCTCCGCTCGGCCCAGGAGCATCCTGCGGGCTGTGTCCAACAGCCGAGCTCAGCGAGGAGCCGTGCTGAGCTTGCTTGCGCCCTCGCCCCTGCAGAGCCCGCGCTGCCCGCGCCGCGCCTCAAGGGCAGACGCAGGGCTGGCACCACGCCGGACCGGCTGCCATCCCTGGCAGGATCCCACTCCACCGCCAGGATCCAGGACCCCCGATATGCGGGAAAATGTGTAAACAAAGTAAAACGAAAAGTATCTATAAGACATAGTGAAACATGGGGGGTGGGGGGTGGTGGAATGAGAAAAAGTGGATAGTCATAGTAACAACTGTCTTCGGTTTTAGAAAGTAGGTAGTGGAAGCAAAGTGTCAAAAATCTATGGTTAGCAGATCTAGGAATGAAAAGGTAGACAAAGGAGTTCCCGGTTGTACTGAGGATCCTGCTAGTAGTATTGTTCCGTAACTGTATGAGGATAACAGAACAGAACTGTCAAGAATTCATGGAGAGCAGGATCTCAGTTACTTGATGTGTGCATTTGGGGAAAGCCAGATGGAAGTCGTACGACATGATGCAGTCCTTTTCCTTTTAACCAGTCACACAGCAGTGTATTAAAGCCAGACATTTTAAAATCTGCTTTTTTAATTACCTTATATCCGATAGTTTTAAAAAGAACTAAGAGAGGACCGCCGGGACCCTGGATCGCCGCGGCGCGGCTCCTTCGCGCCCGCAAGCACCTCCCCGCTCCGCCGGGTCTGCCCCGGCTTCCTGACCCTGTTCCCTGTCCCGGCTCCCTGTCCCGGCTCCATGCCCCGACTCCCTGTCCCGGCTCCCTGACCCGGCTCCCTGTCCCGGCTCCCTGTCCCGGTTCCCTGTCCCGGCTCCCTGTCCCGGTCCGCGGCTGCGGGCTGCACTCCGTGAGCAAAGGCAGTGCCACCAGGGCGAGGGAGGTGATCGTGTCCCTCTACTCAGCATGGAGCGCTGTGTCCTGTTCTGGGCTCCTGAGACGTGGAGCTCCTGGAGCGGGTCCAGCGGAGGGTGGCAAAAGGAATTAAGGGGCTGGAGTGTCTCTTATGAGAAAGGCTGAGAGAGCTGGGCATGTTCAGCCTCCAGAGGAGACGACTGAGAGGGGACCTCATCCGTGTGTGTCAGTGTCTCAGGGAGGGGTCAGGGGATGGACCAAGCTCTGCTCGGTGCTGGCGAGCAGCAGACAGGAGACAACGGGCCGAAACTGGTGCACAGGAAGTTCCACTTGCCAGGAGGAAGAACTTCTTTACTGGTTCGGGTGACCGAGCACTGGAACAGATTTCCCGGAGAGGCTGCGGAGTCTCCCTTATCCGAGATACTCAAGAACTGCATGGACGCGTTCCTGTGCCGTGTGCTCCAGGACGGCCCTGTTCGAGCACGGAGGCTGGACCGGCCGTGGAGCCCCTCCAACCTGACCCGTTCCTGGCTGTGACTACAGTTCCCGGCGCGCTGCGCGGCGCCCGGGCGCTGCCGGGAGGCGGCGGCGGCGGCCGGGCTGTGGGTCCATCGGCGGGATGCGGCTGTCGGTGGCGGCCGCCATCTCGCATGGCCGCGTGTACCGGCGGCTGGGGCTCAGCCCACGGTCGCGCCTGGACCTGCTGCGGAACCTGGTGACAGCGCTGGTGCGCCATGAGCGCATCGAGACGCCCTGGGCGCGGGCCGACGAGATGCGCGGCTACGCCGAGCGGGTGAGCGGCGGCACCGCGCCGCGCCGGGCCGGGCCGGGCCGGGCCGGGGGGCGGCCCTGACCCACCGCCTCCTTCCTCACCCGCCGCCTCTTTCCTGACTCGCCGCCTCCTTCCTCCCCGCAGCTCATCGACTACGCCAAGCGGGGGGACAAGGACGAGCGCGCCATGCGCATGGCGGATTTCTGGCTGACCGTAAGTACCCCCCAGCCCCACCTCCGTCCCGGCCCGCCGCGGAGCCGGGGCTGAGCGTGCCGCCCCGCAGGAGAAGGACCTCATCCACAAGCTGTTCAAGGTGCTGGCGCCCCGCTTCCAGCCGCACTCCGGCAGCTACACGCGGCTGCTGCAGATCCCCAACCGGGACGGGCTGGACCGCGCGAAGATGGCGGTGATCGAGCTGAAGGGGAACCCGCTCCCGCCGCTCGTCCGCCCGCGCCGCGACTCCGACAAGACGCTGCTGAACCAGCTGCTCAAGGGCTACCGGCAGGACGCGCAGCGGGCGGCGGCGTCCCGGGGCACCCCCGTCTAGGGAAGGGAAGGGAAGGTGTGGGAGGAGGGCTGAAGGGTGATGGCAGTTGGGTGATGGCGAGGGTTGTTGAGTTTATTGGCGGCTTTCAGTGGTTTGGAGACTCAGCAGGAGAAGGAAATCAAGCTAGAAGCCCTGATGATTGATGTTTTCTGTGTAAATAAACTTTGTTCAGAAAGTCCGTTTGGTTGTATTTGAGTTGTGTTTGGAGAATCATTTAGGGAAGAAACGATCTCTGAAGTTATCAAATCCAGCCTGTGACCAAACACCACCGTGTCAACCAGACCATGGCACTAAGTGCCATATCCAGTCTTAATTTTAACATCTCCAGGTGTAATTGGGACCATGACTCCACCACATTGTAGGCAGCTCATTTGTGTCTATTCACCCTTTCTGTGAAGAAATTCTTAATGTCCTACATAAACCTCCCCTGACTCAGCATAATTCCTGTGCTTGTAAGTTAATAGTTTATTCCAGAAAAATGGGTTTATTAACTGTGTGTTCTAGGAGCCAGTGTTCAGCATTTCAGGGTGGGAAGTTTGGTGAGAAATAAGATACTTCTGCTGTTTAAAAAGCACTGAATGCAAATAGCATGGGAACACTGAGCTAAGTACTGTAAAGAGACAACAAAAGAAACTTGTCTTATAAGGTGGTAACACAGGCATGTGTCATAGTAATCTGGCAAGAGCTTGACAGACCCCAGCTTCAGAGGCAGGATTGCAATAGACATCTCTGTTGGAACAAAAAGGGGGAGTAGCAGAACTTTTTCAGAGTGATACTGAGCAATAAGAATCTTAATTTGTTAGTTTTGTCTTTAATTTTTCAGGCCCAGCTAGTACTTGAAAAGTCCTAGCTGTAAGTTTGAAGGGGGAAAAAACCCCAAAACAAAACCAGCCCAAACGTAAAATCACAGGATAGAATACCCAGTTGGAAAGGACTTCAAGAACACCTGCCCAACCTTTCGTGGCAAAACACTGTGGAACTAGTGTGGCTTCCCAAACTTTGTTGCATTTCTTCTTCCCAAGTTTCACAAACTTAAGAGATATAAAGAAGTGGCCCTGTGTAGCAAGCTAATTGTATGGAAAGACAAAGAACCTCCATTATATATTCCGTCTTTGAGACATTTATCTCACACTGTACCAGTTCTGTTTTAGTAAATGCCAGTGAGAAATTAAAGATGGGTGGTACTGCTTAAGGAAGAAGAAAAAACAGTCAAACTGTTAGGAGGTCAGTCAGACAGACTTTAATCTATGTTTCTCATAACCTTAAAGTTGTTCTCTTTGCAGTTGACCATATTGATACAGATGTTTTCTGAACCAAAACTGCTGCACAACTTCCACATGATTAAAAGTCCATGCTGAGGCTTTAACAAAATACAAAAATTCCTTTAAAAAAAACATTTAATGAGGGAAAACAAGTCACACTCCCATCTGCTTGACCTTAAGTTATCTTGAGTTTACTAAAGTGCGAAAAAGCTAGAAGCTTTTAAGCTAAATTGGGGGGAAATCCTTGATACATGTTTTTTTTTGTGTACAAATGCTTTTTTTGCAGTATCTATATGAACATTACGGCAGCTAATAAAGCATACACCATCTCACAAACACAGGGTGTAGTCCTAAATTCAGTGCTACTGTATGTCCCTGAACATTTTATAAGATTGTGGAAGCTTCTGCCATGAGGGTGGTTGTCCTGGCGGGCAGTCTGGTGGGTCAGGCTTTCAGCTGCCTGTAGAGGAAAACAAAGGGGAAATTCACAGTTAATACGGGAAAACTGTCCTCATTATTCCCTTGTGTCCTGGCTGCCAGGATCAGGCTGCTTTCATCGTCCTTAAAACCACACACAGGTCCCAGTGGTCACTTCTGTCCTCTTCCACCTCTGGAACCTGGATGCCTACCTGACTGCAGCTGTGAGACTCCGGTACCAGTCATTGATCTCTTGTTGGTTGCTGGACATCAACAGCAGTGTCTTGTGTGGAAAGGAAAGCTGAAACACAAGCAGAATCTGTGGCATTCCTTGCCAAGGCAGCAACTCCAGTAAAAGGAAAATCATCACCACTGAATTCAGTCCCCGTTGATTTTTACCCTCTTTCTTCCCCCACAGAAAAATTTAGTCTTAACATTGAGTGAAGCCAGAGACTGCACAGTACAGCAGAAGTGTCAGTCTTGTCCATTGTTTCCAGTCAAACTTGACAGCTCATTCTGACTTGTCTGAAGGTGAGCAATTAGAATTCTCAGCAGCTCATCCAGTTTTCTACCATATTCCATGTCCCTAGGGGTCCTTCCACTACCATCATCTACAGGTCACAGCTTGCTCAAAAAGTTCTTTGTCATAGCTCACAAGAAAAGAACTAAGAGCCCCAGGTGCAACCTTGGAAGAGCTGACCTTGAAACCGCTGCTGAAGACTCTGGTCCCTGTCAAGGAATCTGCAGCCCTCAGGGAGTTAGATGCCAACATTTGTTGTAATAACATCCACATCTTTTTCATTCTCCATTTTTCTATGCGTTCAGTCTGTAATCAGTGTAATTCATTGTCATGCGAGTGTAGGGCTGCCCCCAAACCTGTGGCTCTGATGAGGGCATGTTAGAGTCCTGGTGGAGCCTCCTCACCTGAGCTAAGTGAAGCAACCTGCAGCCTGTAACCCCAGAGTGTGCAGGAGGCTCCACTCCATGAAAGGAAAAGTACCTGCATCACTCAAGAAGGGAAGGGTTGCCCTAACTCAGACTTGCTCACTGCATTTTGTCACCACTGTCATCATCTTGGTCCCTCTGCTGCTGAGACAGCTGCTTACAGGGCTGACTCCACTGGCACTTCTGCCTGGCACAGGTGGGAAGACTTACACTGAGGAGCCCTCCCTGGCTCCACGTGTGGCCGAACACTTTATCCACTGAGCACTGGTGGAGCGGGTAGACAGCCTGGCAGCACAGTTTGTTGGAGTTCAGCAGGTGCAGTGGGTGGCAGGGCTTCGCTGCAATGAGGATGTCAGAGAACAGGAAGAACATCCTGCGCTTCAGCTCTTCTCCCTTTGCAGGCACCACCAAGAGCCAGCCTTCCCGGATATACCAGCGTCCTGGGCATGCCGGGGAAACAGAGACAGCTGTGAGGTCTGAGGGAGGACAGGCAGGAATTGAAAGTAAAGGATGTAATGAGACAAACAGGGATACAGGCTGAGCCACCCTTGTAGGTAGCCGAGCTCTACATCAATTCCAGCCGCTAGAAGGCACTGGATGTCAGCTGGGTCTGGCTCACCAGTGCGGATAGCACCCGTGCAGAAGCAGAAACTAGCCCAAAATGTTTATTGTATGAGGAGCAGCTGAAGCTGTTAAAATCTCCTATTTTAACTAAGAGTAAATTATCATATGCAAGTCTGTTTAAAGTGATCAGAACAAAAACACGGTTTGAGAACGGCATGCATACCTTTAAATCAACATAAGCCTTCAGAAAACACATCATGAACTATCTCAAACTGTGTTGCCCAGTTGTTTGTCATTAGTCCTATAACACAAACTAGCTTCACGTTTGAAAACTTCTCATTTTTTCCTTGTTTTGTTTGTGTGTGCTAATAAAATAAATAAGCTCAAAAACCTCCCCAAAACAAAACAAAACCATATTTCACAGGTCATCTAACTATATACAGACCTACAGTAGCCAAGAGAATACAGGTTGCAGATTACTGTTCTAAAGAGAAGGCATGAAAGGAGATAGAAAATGAGGAAGGTCTGAATAGGCAACCTTACCAACCTCTCTTGCAGAACAGAGCCCAGTGTCATCCATCTGTGAAATTAATTGTGATAAAACAAGAGGAAAAGAAAGCAGGAGAGAAATAACCAAAACAATTTGATAAGCCTAGCTGTAAGCAGCTACTTAAAAAAATAATAATGAAATAAATAAAATAAAGCAGGACTTCTTACTAAGATTATTGTGGAAGATAGCCATCAACTCATGGGAATTAGGAGGATACCTGTTAGAAAGATTATTTACAAAACTGTAAATCCATAACAAGGTATTGCCACCTGATCTTGTTTAGGAAACATCTGCCAGGGAATTTCAGCCACTCTTAGCTTCTGCATGAGCTATAAATAACTTTTAGAATAAAAATACAGTGTTGTGTTCATTGTGAATTGTGTCTTATTAGAATGCTACAGTCACAAAACAAAGAAGTGAGTGAATTCCTGCTCAGCTTATTCCACTGGAATCACTCCTCTTACCTGAACAAGAAACTGAGGAAGAGAAGGGTGAGGTGCAGGAATAAATCCAGGTTTAAAAAAACAAAGGGGAGGAAGGTGTCAGAAGCATGGGGCTGGCCTGGGAGCTGTTTCCCTCAGACTGTGCTCTGATCAGACTCCCAGGCATACAGTCTGATCCAGACTGTACTGGAAGTCTTGGAATATAGATCCATGTCCAGGATTCCCAGGTGTACAAGTTTTAGGAAATTGTTGTTAAAGAAGGGCAAGAAAATATCCCAGGAGAAGCTCTGGATAACAGAACATTGTGCTCAGTTAAGGAGGCAGTTCTGGCTGATACAGTATTTGTCCGGAATGAGGAAGGCAGCAAGAAAAGCAGGGTCTCCTCACTGGGAGCAGGACATCTCAGAGACACTGGCAAATGTGAGATACCCATCTCCAACACTGCCTCTTTGTTCTGAATCTACAGCATTTTGTTTTCTTTCCTGTTCCTTCCTGGCAACAGGATGCAATCTTAACTGTCCTGCAAAAGCTATTTTGTTTCTGGAAAGCTGGCCCAAAACTAGCAAGCCCCAGCTGCCTCTTACATTTGTGTTTCTCATATCCAATGATAACTATGTAACTCCAGCCAATGGAAAACATGACTACAAGAATTCTCTGTCCTAGATGATGGAAATACCTTTACTGATCCTCAACACTCATCCTACTACGTCTCAGATTTTTCAGAGAACAAAATAATCAGTGGACCAAACACTTTCCAACACTGGCCATTTCTGGTCTAGTTATACGTTTTAAGGTGTTTGTTTGTTTTCATGGTTTTAGCTTATTAGTTCTAACATTAGTCAGGATAACTGATTTACCTTTTTACTTACACACTACCCCAAGGGTGCCCAGGCACCCCCACACATGCTTCTGCTCAGTATAAGCAGAGCACACCTGTGTTAGCTCCCTTTCACCTGGCAGCACCAAAATATTCTAAGGACAGGAAAGAGAATTGTAAATTAATTTGCCCATTGACTGAGCATCTTTGAGAATAATCTCTGATAAGTAACCTTTGTTCTACCTATGCTGGTTTGGCTAGGCTAGAGTTATTTTTCCCATAGTGGCTTGTTTGGATTTGCACTGAAAACACCATTGACAACACAGGGATCTTTTGTTTATTTCTGTGTAGGCAGTGCTCAGCATCAAGGTCTTTTCTGTTCCTCAAGCCACAAGTGAGGAGGGTGGAATGCACATGAATGTGGGAAGGGTCACAGCTGGAACAGCTGATCCGAAATCCCCAAAGGGACATTCTATATCATACGGCATCATGTTCAGCCTGTTATGCTGGGGAAAGAAGAAGGAAAGGGAGGAGTTTTAAAGTGATGACTCTTGTCTTTCCAGGTAACCACAATCTGTGGTAGAGCCCTGGTCAGAGCCCTTTCCTTGGAATAGTTGAACACCTGCTGTCCATGGCAGGTGATGGATGAATTCCTTGCATAGCTTTGTTTGCATGAACAGCTTGTTAAACTGTCTTTATCTCAGCCATTGAGCTTTGTCAGTTTTACCCTTCTGAGTTTTTTCCCATCCCAGTGGGGAAAGATTTTTTTTCATCCAAAAATCCACATGTGTTAATTACAACCACATTCACAAGTACCTGGAAGTTCTTGCGTTAGAAATCCTCACACACAGTGACTTTAACACTCCTCTCCAGCTGCAGCACTGTGCCTGGATAACCTCTGCAGTAGCAGAGTTGAGTGAGGCTACAGGTGAGACCCCAAATGACCATCTCATAATTGCCCAGACTGGGCACATTTCTCACAATATTTCCTACATAGCCCAGAGTGTGGTTTGGGCATGGGTAGTACCCAGCCACATAAGAGACCTATCCATTGAAATGTTCTTATGTGCCAGTGACCGTGGCTTTATCTGTCCCAACAATCAACACAAATACAGTGATTTCTGTCTCAGTTTAACCATGCAGATAAAAGAAAACTCTTCATTTGAAGGGTGAGAGCAGAGTGACCTTAAACTTGTAGCTTAATGTAAACAACAACACAGTTCTTGTGTCCTTGACACTCAAGAATCTGTGGTTTCTGCAGTGGAGTAGGGATAATGCCACTGCTTACACTGCCAAAAGAATTTAGTGTCTCTCTTTCATTCCCATCCAGGACTTACACTCCTGATCTTCTTGGGTTCCTAAGTTTCTAACCACATGTCATCATCTTCTCCTATCTGAATGTCAGGCAATTAAGCTGTTGCTTGTCCTTACTCAAAAATTCTTTATTAAAAAAAAAAAAAAAAAAAAAAGTGCTTGAATAAGTAGTCATATTCCTTTACCACCTATCTGTGGAATTTGGGCAGAAGGGGAAAACTGGTTAATATGAGTTGAGTTAGAGATGAAGGAGAACATATATACATGTATCTCAGCATGGCAGAAGAAAAAGAGAGTTGTCAGTAAGACCCACCTGGAGTCAAAATCTGAGTCTTTTGTCCTTTGAGCAATTTCTGAACCCGAAGTAGCTGCAAGGAGTTCTCTCTCTTATCAAAGATGTCTTGGATCCAGTGAGATACTTCACAAACAGATTTCACAGTCTCTGAAATTATAGCAGCATATCCTGAAGTTATCACAAATGAATATGTATTTCACCTTATACATCTTGCTAAGAAAAGACAGCATGAAATTAAGAAGTTTTAAACCAAGTATCAACAACAGCTTTATTCAGAAATTTCGGTGAGAGATTGGGCTAGATCACCTCCAGCGGCCTCTTTCCAGCTAATTCTGCAATTCTAGAAAACATTTGCCAATGAAACGTCAGAGAGTGTTGTGGTGCACCAGTTTAGTTGTTCTCTTGCACTGGGTGACTGGGAATTTGCACAGAATGGTTTTGTATTGCACTGTATAGCTTATGTTATATCATGTGGTTTGTTACCCCGTTTCCCCATCACACGGTCTTTCCCTCACCTGTCCAGGTACCACCTGGTGGTCTCTCCCCTGGGTTACCCCTCCCCTTGCCACTCCTCACTGGTATTCCATTGGCTGTGGACCTCTCCCTCTGTCCCCATCCCAGGGGGTATAAAAGCTCCCTGCTGCCAGGGAACGCTCTCTTTTCTCCCATGGGTTTGTCCGCCTGGTATGCGTCCTGCAATAAAGGACAACGTTTCCCACATGGAGGAGAGCGCTTCTCTAATCTTTTACCTTTGTCTATGAAGTATCATGTGGGCAAGGGTCTATAGCTAGCCGGAGTGGACCCCAACAGCCCAGGAAACACGCTTCTTCAAGAGAGAGAAATAATTTCCTGGATTTGGAAGCAAAAACAGGAAAATGCCCTACAAGTGGTGTTAACTGCTTGGAAAAACTGCAGAATCATTTAGATGGGAAAAGACTACTGATATTGTTTTCATGGTTAACTGAGTTAACCTAGGATTGAACACCACCTTGTCAAGTAGACCACGGCACTGACTGTCATTTCTTGAACATTTTCAGGGATGGTGACTCTACCACTTCCCTGGGCAGTCCATTCAAGTGTTTAACAACATTTTCCGTTAAGAAATGCCTCCCAATGTTCATTCTGAACTTCCCCTAGCACACCTTGAGGCCATTTGCTCTTATCCTGTTGCTTGTTACCCGGGAGAAGAGGCCACAACCTCCTTTCAGGTACTTGTAGAGAGTGATCAGGTCACCCCTTTTCTCCAGACTAAACACCCCCATCTCACTCAGCCACATTTCACAAGACTTGTTCTCCAGACCCTTCTCCATCTCCAGTGCCCTTCTCTGGACTCGCTCCAGCACCTCAGTGTCTCTCCTGCAGTGAGGGGCTCAAAACTGGACATAGGATTTGAGGTGTGGCCTCACTCAGGTTGAGCACAGAGGAACAATCATTGCCCTGGTCCTGCTGGTCACATTAATACTGATACATTCAGGATGTCCTTGGCCTTCTTGGCCACCTGGGCACATCCTGGCCCATGTTCAGCTGCTGTGGATCAGCACCCCCAGGGCCTTTTCCTCCCAACAACTTTCCAGCCACGCTGTCCCAGCCTGGGGCACTGCCTGGGGCTGTTGTGACCCAAGAGCAGGACCCAGCACTTGGCCTGGCTGAACCTCACACAACTGGCCCTGGCCCATGGATCCAGCCTGTGCAGATCCCTCTGCAGAGCCCCCTGCCCTCCAGCAGGTCAGCACTCACACCCAGCTTGGTGCCTTCTGCAAACTGGCTGAGGGTGCTCTCAATTCCCTCATCCAGATCATCAATGAAGATATTAAACAGGACTGACCCTGATACTGAGCCCTGGGGGACATCTCTAGTGACTGGATATAACATGAAGGACACAAATTATCCTAGAAAATTGAGGCATGTGACCAAGAGAGTCAGAGAACAGTTTGGGTTGGAAGGGACCTTAAATATCATCTTGTTCTAACCTGCCTGCCATGGGAAGGTACACCTTCAAATACATCACATTGCTCAGGACCATATCCAGCCTGGCCTTAAACTCTTCCAGGAATGGGGCATCAACAAATATCTTGAGCTACCTGTTCCAGTGCCTCACAAGAAGCAATTAAAAAAACAAAAAAAAAAAAACAAAAAAAAAAACAGCTGCCATTTCTCCAACCTGAATATTAGGCCATTTTCACAGGCAGTTACTCTATATTTTTATTCTTAACATGTTCTCATGGACATATTGATCAAGATGGAGAAGGAAAATAATAATCCACTAGAACCCCAGAGAGAGAGGAAGATTTTTTTCCTTTGGAACCATGCAGTAGGTGGGAGTCAGAATATTCTTAGAGAGGAGTATATCATTGATCAAAGTGCCAGCATTTACTTGCAAGTTTCTGGTACTCAGCAGTGTCTGGGCTGGTGTTCTCCAGCAGATCTCTGAAGAAATGCTTGTACCTGAGGTGGAGAGAGCAGGTTTAATTCACAACAAGATACCAGGAACAGCAGCAGCACTGCCTGTTAGTAACAGCACAGTGAGCAACACTCAGCTGGGAGACAGAGCAAGCCTAACCAGGCAGTTTTGGTCACACTTCCTTTACATTCATTTTGTCATCAAATGTCTCAGCTAAAATAACCCAAGTATTTGGTACATCTGCAAACCTTTGGCTTTTCCTGGCGATCCAATAGAAGCAGACTCACAAATCACCTAAGATCACGAGGCTCTCTCAGAATTCACATGTTTTGTTATTGCCTTCAATAAGCAACAAATTTCTCTTTGAACTATCTATTTTTAATAGTATATGAATGGTGGTATTCATACCATGTTTCCTGCCCACACAAGAAAATAAAGGCATTTCTGCAAGAACTAGGACCCTCCTTTTTCTTTTTCCTTTCCAGTCTTTAGTGAAGAGGATAAGATCTCTGCAACTGCTTTCTCCCAGTAAAGTCAAACAGAAGGAACTTATCAGATTCACAAGCTGACAGAACTCATATGACCTAGTGCATATGTTAACAGAGTTTTAAAAGAATTTGAACATGATAGAACTGATTAACAAAAATATTAGACTTTCTATCAAAATACTCACATTTTTCCAAATAGTTGGACAGCAACAAATATACTGCTGTTTTGCAAATTTAAAAGAATTATCCAAAGAATTATGATAAAAACCAATCAGCTTAATGTTTACTTCTGCCAAGCTGATTAAAAACATTACATAAAGTTACCTGAAAGACTGTGGTATGATCTCTCCTAGTTATTTTCAAAGAAAAGAGGTGCTCAGTCTCTCATATTTGCTTTAGTGTAGATAAGATCATGGTTGAAAAACAGCTACTGGATCTATAGCAGCAGAATCTGGGCTCCCAGAAAACCACCTTTATTACCCACACACCCTCCCCAAGAAAGGGGTGCCCATGGGTGCATGCAGCACTCTCCTCAGGCAGTCAGTTTGCCTCTTCAAAGGGGAGATGATCATAGAATATCCTGAGATGGAAGGCATCCACAGGGATCATCAATTCATGCCTCTGCATTTTTAAGACAACCCTAAAAATCACATGCATCCAGTGATGGTGTCTAAACATTTCTTGAAGACTGGGAGGCTTGCTGCCTCAAGAGGGAGATGCAGTGACCCTGAGTGGATCTGTCCAGGCTCAGACAAATGTGATAGGCATCATATCTGAGGAAAGCATACAGCCCTGATAACCAGAGAGGAAAGAGAAGCTCTCCTATCAATTAATCTCATATCTCTCAAAAAAAAAAAAAAAAAAAGCCATTTCCAATAGTCATTATGCTCCAGCTCAGCAATCTGCATAAAAATGGAGCAAAATCACCACTGGCAGAGACTACCACTTCTGCAGCATTTCAGTCAGCTTGCTTTCATTCAGAGCCAGACTTCAGTAGCTTACTGAGACAGCAGAAAGCCTCCAATTCTACCCAAGAGCTAGAGGAAGGAGCCAGGGCTAAACATATCTGCCTTCCTGCATCATCTCCCATCCATGTACACTGATTCCACTTTACAGGCACAACCTTAGTTCTGTTTCATTGCTGTCTCTATGCTCTGATTTTGAGACACAATAGGCAACTTTCCCTTTCATAGCAACAAAAATAGTGATACATTCCTTTTTCCCTTCTTATGCTAATCTCTTGAAGACTCACAATTGCTTACTTACTGGTGCAGCCTCTGCAGGGGCAAAGGAAGCAGATCCTCTAGCTCCCTCCCTTGAAACTGAGGTCGAGTCTCCTGGAGTTTCTTAAACCGCCGGAATGACTTATTTTTCCTCACTTGCTCCTGTGTGCAGAAAAAAGAATATAGCTTTGAGACTACAGAAAAAACTATGTGCCGTAGTCTGTTCCAGAAGTTGGAACCCTTCAACTCAGAGTTTAGGACTCCAGTCCCACAAGCATCAATTTCTTTTGTGGCTGTGGCAAGCCATTTCCTCTCTCCTGATAGTTCATTTCAGAGGGTAATGGAAGTGATGTCTCCCCTCCATACATGAAATTAAAGAAAAAGAGAAGGTTGACCCAGTTAGGAAAACAAGGAATGCACTTGTGGCTTTTTGCCATGCCTTTCAAGAAAAATCAATGCCCATCTGCATTCCCATGACCTTAAGACAAGTATCCAAAATGGCTTTTTCTCTTGTAAAATCAAAAGCATGAATACATGCATGCAAAGACAAGAGGAGGGAAGCATCCCAGTACATTCTGCATCTGGGAACAAGCACGGACAAAACTGGGAGCTGAGTGGTATAAATTCCAGATACAACTCTCAGGACTTTGGAATAAATATATATTCTGCAGAAATTTCTTGAAAACAGGTTGTATTTGAAGACATAAATGGTAAGGAAAAAATGGTCTTCAACATAGAAAAAAAAAAGTGAAGGAAAAGGAAATCCCACAACTAGGATACAGTTGGCGGTAGTGGGAAAGACTAGGAGACCTGACAATTCCTAGAAAGAGATCACTGTATCATAGTGAAAGCCTGGAAACTCTCTAGACTTACCAGTTAGGAAGGAGTGGGAGTAAATACAGAACATTGTTTGAGAAAGCAGTGCTCACCATATGCACATACATATACAAACACCTGAAAAGGCATCCGAAATTTGAAGCTCTAAGTAGAGAAGTTTTCACTACTTTATTGTGGAAGAAAGCCAGAATTTCATCAAGCCAGAAAAAGTGAAAACACTGATCTCTCCAGAAACAGAAGACAAATAGAAGGATGTGGCAGTTTCACAAAATGGAAGGAGAAAGCATATGAAGACTAAAGTAAATATTTACCTTCAAGGTTTTATTTGCATGCTCCAAATTCTCAGCATAGTGACCATAAAGATCCAGACTCTGACAAAAATTTTCCAGTCCTGATCCCAAATTTCCTTTCTCCAGGTGAAGTGAGAGAACACTGTGCACAAAGGAGCAGAGATAGCTTGTGAGGGATACGTTACTGATGGCATTTTCACAGCTCCTTCTAATTCCTTCCTTTGCTCACCTGCCTTTACCATTCTCCACCTCATATCCAGTTTTTATACCAAATTTGTGCTTGGAGGTCAGACAGTAAGCCACAGAACACCTTGTGGAACAGGCTTACTGAGCTTAAACCACTGTCCAGTAACTGGGTACCCAGATATGTGATACAGATCAGGAGTTTCCAGGGGACACATCCAAGTGCCACCAAGGTTAGCAGTGAATGCCTGTTTTACAAGGTGTTAGGCTTATTTCCCCAAATCTTACTTTCTCATCAGCATAGAGTCCTCCCAATATAGTTAGGGGAATTGCATCCTCTGTCCACTTACTGGCTGGCTGAATATAAGGACTCCAGGGGCCCAAATATAGTTTCCAACACAGCAGGCTTCAGTGTCCCTTTGGCCTTTAAGATTGTCACAAAGTACTAAGCAGGGAAAAAGAAAAATAATTTCAAACAGGTAACATACACAAAACATCATAGAATCACTCAATGGTTTGGATTGGAAAGGATCTTTAAGACCTTCTAGTTCCAGCCTGGTCAGAGACATCTTCCAAGCCCCATCCAAACTGGCTGATCACTTCCAGGGAAGGGGCATCCACAGCTTCTCTGCACCCTGTGTCTCAGTGCCTCACCACCCTCACAGTAAATAATTTCTCCCTAACATCTAATCTAAACCTACTGTCTTCCAGTTTAAAACCATTCCTCCTTGTCCTGTCACTATGTGTCTATGTAAAAGGTGACTCTCCCTCTTTTTTATAAGACCCCTTCAAGTACTGGGAGGCTGCAAAGTTTATTAACCTCTGAGGTCACTCAAAGGCCACTTGTGGCACACAGCAGAAGACAGAAGTTGCAGCCTGAACACTCTTTAGCTTGGAAAGATATCAAGTATTGTGACTGTCTACCTAAGATATGCACTACCACATGTAAGCCTTACTTGTAGCTATGACCATAACTGTAAACACAGTATCCTCAAGATACTGAAATAGACTCTTTTTTGTTTTTACTGAAAAACAAGATGTTTTTCACCATCTTGTTCATAAATTTTTTCTTGTCTGTGTCCCTACAGTTCATGTATCTCATGCATCTTAGGCGAGCACCCTATTCAATCAAAACTTAAAAGATTTATGTCTGTGTACAGACCAAGGCCAAAAAGCCAAACCCATGAATTGAATATTACAGAGGAGGTAAAAGAAAAACAACAAAAAAACCTTTCAGCCAGAGCAGTTGTCCCATGCTTTAGGGATGTACCAGAGTCCTGCTCTTGACCCTTCCCCATGGCAACACAAATAACTATGTGCTGTCTGAAAGCACCCACATACCAGAAGGGGCAGAAATACTCACTGTGAGCACCAAATCCAGCTGTTCAAGATATTTGTGTTCTGTTTCCAGCAGTTCCTTGGCTGTCCTGCTGCGCTTTCTCTCCCAGCGAGCCCGCTGGTCTTCCACTGTGTTTGCTCCAACCACAAATGGCAGGGACGAGGCACTCATGGCAGAGGCAGGGTTGATGCACAGGGAGGTAAAGGATCCTGGAGGGCCAAGCAAGATGGGCACACAACACAAGAATAACCTATGTTGCAGGGTAGGATTCTGAGCTAAAAACTCAACACTTTCCTAGGAAATAAGGGCAGTCAGTTGCCAGCAACCATTATTAACAGTTTCCTTCTGCATTCCGTCCTGTGGGCACAGGGGCCCTGCATCAAACAGAGGAACGCCATTAGAGAGACCAGGCTGTGAAAGCAAAAGCGGTACATGATGATTCATCTGCAAGCAAATCTCAGTGCACAATCCCACGTGCAAACCACTGCTTCCTGTGCCTTGCCCTCCCCATTCTTTGCGTGAAATTCTTGTTAAACTCTAGCAAGTTTGTGGGTGGAAGAGGTACTGTGGATAGGAGTAGAAAATAACCATAAGTTTTGTCTTGTGGGGGGACTGTAACAGGACTTCCCCCATACCACAGGGAAAGAGAAGAGAGCACTCTTGCTTGTTTTCCCATGGAGGTTACTAAGAAGCAAGTGGTTTGCTTTGTCATTTTCTAACTTCGTGCTCCTGGAGGTGAGAGGGCAACTGCTGGGAATCACACAGATATCATGGCTTGTTCTGCTCTTCTGCTACAGTATCATGATTTTGTTGAACAGAAAAACATTGTTTATCACACTCAAGAGAAAGAGGCATGTTTTAGCAGAACACCAGTTAGATATTGTTCTTTTGATGAAAAGGCAGTGCAGGCAGTTGTACACTTGCCCCAGCATCAGGTCTGGAGTTTTGTGGAACCTGAGTTGCTTCTGAAAATTTCTGTTTCCCACATGGACAAGATACACTAATACAGAAAGATGTGTCATCATAGAGAAGGAGATTTGTCAAATACCATCTTCCACAGATATTTCAGATACATAAACCTGAATGTCTGAAACAAAAGTTTCACATCAAATGAGTACCAGGACTCACTTAAGGAGTTGCCAAAAGTCCAGAGAGCTGAGGGACATGTGCAGTGTTTTATAGTAGCAGCAGCTTCTCCAGAGCTTGCCCTCATATTCCTTTACAGCATAACCACAAGGCTAGTCAAGATCACATCTTGGTCAAACAGGGCAGACCTGGCGTGGATGGAGAGGCAGCACAGCAGGGAACACCACCTTAAGCTTAGCATTAATCCAGAAGTGTTCAAGGCCAGGCTGGATGGGGCCCTGAACCACCCTGTCTGTGGAAGGTGTCCCAGGGCTTTGCAGGGCTCTTGGAAGGAGATGGTCTTTAAGGTCCTTTCCAACCCAAACCATTCCATGATTCTATTCAAGTGCAGTTGCAAAGTACTCACCAGTAATGGACTAAAGCATTGCCATTCGCAGAGCGCCTCTAGCCCGGGTAGACTGCAGTCAAGGCTTTCATTTTGCAGACCAATTTCTTTTAACACAGAATATTTAAAAAACAAGTTATACCAGGTTTGACCATCTACTGCTCACATAAATGAGTTCTAGCACTCCCATTATTGCATAATATATTTTGTGTGAGGTCTGTAGGGTGAGAGCTTCCTGCAGCCTGTGGAAATACACTAGAAAATACTTCACCCACAAGTGACAGAACTGCTCCAGCTTGCTTCTCCCCAGCTCGTGTTCAAAAACCACTGAATACCCTCTATTACTGTTAACTACCTTATAGTACACCATTAGCAGCATCCCCTTCCCCATTTCTAAATTTTTTGAGTACCCTCAAAAAATCGCCTGTTCTAATTGCACAGTCTCTCTTGGTGTCCCAGGAGTGTAAACACATGGTGGGTCAGCGCAAAGTGACACATGGCCGCAGATCCCACACTGTGAGGTAAGAGAAAGGGGAAGGGAAAGGGAGAAACTCTGGATCCCATATCCTCAGCCACCCTGATGACTAAAGGAGTAAATACTGCAGGAGTTAAAACTGGAAGTAAAACACGCACCTAGCCTTCCTTCAATTCGCATGTGCTGCAGGGTACTAAAAGTGCATTTCGGATCAGTCAAAACCAAGGGTACTATATTTTTTCAGCAGATGAGAAAAGATTCATTAAAAGTCTTGCGGGATTGCACAGAAAGCTTTTCTTGACCAAAACTGAAGCATTTTACTCATTATCAGAGTTCTGTTTAGTTGGGTTTGGTTTTTTGGTTTTTTTGGTGTTTTTTTTTAAATCAAATTAAATATGTTTTAAATAAATAAATGTTTCCAGTAAAAAATAAATTTAAAAAACCAAACCACATGAGCACACTAAAAAAACATTTACTAAACTTTAACCAAATGTTTTTCTCTGACTGCAACATGGATTCAGGAAATACTTGGTGGAATCAGGGACTAATTTAGCCAAAGGGATTTTTACGGGTCATGCAGTTGAGCCTTGTGCTCAAAGTGGGGCTACCACCAAAGTCAGGCTGGGCTGCTCAGGGGTTCGTCCTGCTCAGGACCTTTCCGCGGGTGGAGATCGCGACGGGACGGGACACCAACGGTTGTGGCCGTGGCGGTCCTGGTTTGGGTTTGGGTTTAGTTCTGGTTCTGGTTCTGGTTCTGGCCCCGGCCCCGGCCCCGGCCCCACGCTGGTGCCGCTGGGGCAGCGTGGCCCCCCGCCCGGGGCGGCCGGGGACCTGGCGGCGCTGGCCGAGTTGGACGAGGCGGCGCTGCTGGCGGGGCTGCGGGAGCGCTTCCTGCAGCAGCGCATCTACGTGAGTACTGGGGGCCGGGGCGGGGGGCGGCGGCGGGCGCTAGGCTGACCGGCTGTCCCGTCCCCACAGACCGACATCGGAGACATCCTCGTCGCCATGAACCCCTTCCAGCCGCTGCCGCTCTACGGGAGAGAGGTGAGCGCCGCGCCCCCACCTCGCCCCGCCGCCCCCCGGCCGCTCACCCCTCTCCGTCGCCGCTTCCCCGCAGGTCTCCGAGCGGTACCGGCGCCTCCAGAACGACGCGCTGCCGCCCCACATCTTCGCCGTGGGCAGCCGCGCCTACCACGCCATGCTGGGCCGCGGGGGCAGCGGACCCCGCAACCAGTGCATCCTCATCAGGTGAGCGGCGGCCGGGGGTCCCGGGGCCGGCGGGGGCCGGGGGCGGCCCCCGAGCTCTCGCTGGGATCTCCCTGCCCAAGGTTCAGGTGAAGCGCTTCTCCGGTTCTGTTGGTGAGTCAAAATCCGTCTGTGCTGGCAGCACATCCTTCATCACGACCGCTTTCGAGACGGATGAGCGGGCATGTCGTGAGAACGTGTGGGCAGACAAAACTGGCTTTCCTGGAGCAGCTCGGCCAGCAGTTTTTATAACAGTAAAGATGCCAGGTTCACTTCTGGTGGGGAACCAGCCACTGGAATCCAGCCCTGGGAAAAGCAATTGAGTGCTCTGCTCTGGCAACACAACTTCCGTGGTGAAAGCTGTAGTAAAAGTTGGAAGGATGATAACGGAAGGAGCCAATTTTCATAAACTGGAGCTTCCCAAGTGTAACTGAAGAGCAGGAAGTATTAAAACATATTTTTCTGCTCTTAAGACCTTTGGGAATCTGGTCAGGGAGGATCTTAAAGTCATGGGCAGTTCTGTGCTCTAGAAGTCGGGGGAAAGTGATTCTTTTAACCAAAGAGCCTACCAGTATCACAAACATTTTACTCCATTTTGTCACTCTTGTTCTGCTGGAACTCTGCAGCACAGCAGGTAGCATCATTTAGCAGAGAAAGCTTTAAACAGCACCAACACCAAAGAAAGCATTGAACAGCAAGGAGAAAGTCTTGAAACATTAACTGCCGCTTCTCTACAGCTGGGTGTTGTAGAGAGCAGTTTAAATATCATCTCAGTTGAAATGCTACTTGCCAACTTGTTAGATTTAATGCTCCTTTGTATTTGCCTTCTGATCATTTTATCAGTACTTTCGGTCTACATGGCGTGCAAGTCAACTGCTGAATCACTGCTGAGTGTTTTGGTGGGCCTGGGAGCTGACTTTGAGGGGCACTTGAGCCCCACTCATTTCTGTAGCCTTCTTGCCATTGGTGCCTGTGCTTTACATGAAGTGCTCTCGGGAAGTGGTGGCTGTGGGGTCAGCAGGTACAAGAGGCACTGTTGGTGGGGCTTTGCGGGATAGAGAACAGTCATTGTATTTGTCTTGGGAGGTGGAAGTCAAGAAAGTGTAACCTGTGAGAATTGTGAAGTGGTCAGTGGTCTGGTTGTTTTCTGCCAGTAGTTCAGAGATGAGTCTGATATACTCCTGTCCTTTTACCTGGTCTTTGTGTTACTGTCACAGGAAGTTTGTGGTTTTCCTCTCTGTGGGTGGTGAAACACTAATTAACAAGTTTTCCTACATGAGCACAGTTGGTGTGAACAGGGAAGATGAGGTCACTCCTGTTAGACCACAGTTCACCACAACACCACAGAAACACACCTGGATCTGCTGTCCCTGGTGGTCTCTTTGGTGTCTCCAGCTGAGTCTGGGAGGTCTGGATCACATTCTTCAGAGGTGATGTTTGATGAAGCACTGCTGCCAGATCATAAGTGTTCATTGCTACCAAATTGTCCTCAGCCACAAATTCTACTGGTTCCTCTTGCCTTCCCAGTCCCAAAGGACATTTAGTCATAGCCTGCATGTGCTGCAGTGCAGCACTTGGGTCACCTGAAGATGACTTAGCATTTCTTCACAGCTCAGGCCAGTTACACACCTGCTGTGCTTGCAGGGCCTTGTGAAGGTGTTGTGCTTGTTGGAGGGTCTAAGGTCAAGCTTGAACCATGGAAGTGCTGTTGGATTTTTTTTTTTTTTTTCTGGTGGAGGAGGGAAGTTACTGAAAAATAAAAATAAACCTGACATACTGAGCAGGGGCACTGGATGGCATGTTCTCAACTGGCAAAATGGTCCTATTTTGTTTATATGTATTTGGATGGTGCTGGTCTGACCTGTGCTTGAGATCAGGGACCTGCTGTAGTACTTGAAGTTTTTAGCCACCTATGACACATACTTGATACCAAGCTCAGAGCCACTGGCAGCTACAAAGCAGTAAAGCCACACCACATGCTCAAAGGTCGGCTCAAAGGAAATGGGGACCTGCCCTCAAGTGTGCCTCCAGCATTTCCTGCATTTTTTTTTTTCCATGCACATGCTGAGGTTCTCAGCTGGTGTGATGTCAGTTAAGGACATGTTGTCTCACTGATTGTACATTCCCTCTCCCTGGACAGGGGAAACTGCACTTTCCAAGTGTTGGTTGTTTGACTTGGAGGCGGAGGTGCCGTGGATGTGTGACAGCACAGTGACGTGCACTGCTGGCACTGAGGGAGTGTGGGCAGCTCTGCACCTGCATTCCCAGATGTCTGGCACATGGATGCGTGAAACACTTGAGATCTGAGACTGCCACAGCATCTCATGATCAGTATCCAGGTGTGGATGTGATGTACATAGGGCAAATCTCTCTGGAGAAAGGAGGAAGTTGTTGGCTCCAGCATATGCAAGGGAATTGAGGTACCAGATGGCTTTTGAAGCAGAGCAAATGGTCTGTCTGATACATTCCATCCAGAAGTGACAGCATGGGGTATATCTGTATTCCCTTGCAGAAGGGGAAAAGTTCCGTGACGAAAAACCTCATGGTTCATGTGCAAAGCTGTGGCGTGTGAGTTTTTACTCACACAAGTGATTTGGCTGAAAAAATTGCGAAACTCCTGCAGAGCACTCTCAAGTGATGGAGCACTTGAGCCGTAAGGGGCAGAACAACTATACTTTCGGTTGATAGAATTTATTTTGCTTTTTCTTGGCAGTGGAGAGAGTGGTGCTGGAAAAACAGAGAGTACAAAGTTGTTGTTGCAGCACATAATGAACCTATGCAAAGGCAACTCACAGCTGGAGCAGCAGATACTTCAGGTAGGTCATTGCAGGATGGTGCTTGAAGGAGCAGAAGCAGCACTGCTGCAAGACAACTTGCATTAGGTTTAGGAAGCCTGCTGGTGAATCACCACTGGAAATCAGGGGGCTACACATAAGAAAATAGTGGACAAGAATGGTGAGATAGCTGCCACAAATTAGAAGGGTTAGTAGGTCAGTGATTCTGTTTGTTGGAAATGATTCTTATATTAGAGAAAACCACTGCAATAATTTATCATGTTCTCTTTTACAAGATTGGTGGCATTTTTCTAGATAATTTCCTGTTTGAGGTAAAACATGCCACTTTCATTAGAAAAATGAGACCTTGATTTAATGGTACAGAGGGATGAAAAATTCACACACCATTTAGTAACCCATCCTTGGCTATTTATACTGTCAGGCAAATACCTGCTAGCTGGCTAACTGCCATCCTTACTCTTTTCGTATATCTTTGCCAGTTCATTTTGAAACATATTTGACTCTTTGGTCTGAAATATTTCCACTTGAATTTCTCCCCAGGGAGCTGTGAGGTTTTTTTAAACAAATCATACTTTAAACCTTCCATGCGATAG